GAAATCTGAAATAGCTCTGAGAAAATAAACACTCATAGCTCTTTCCCAGCCCAAGGATACAGGTGAAATGCTGAGTATAATTATCAGGTAAAAGTATCAAAACAACAACAAGTTTCCTGTTTTCAGTACAATAAATATACCCTTAAGGATATTACAAGCTATCAAAGGCTTTGACTACTGGCAGACTTTTCCGTGTGGGCTTGTCCACCATAGCCAATGTTTCTGGAAGCAGGGTGGCCCTGGGACCTGTCCCATGAGGGATCCCAGAGTCCTGCAGCAAAGAGCATGATGCAGGAGCATTCCTCTGGCTCAGTGTTTCATGGTGAAAGGTCCTTCAGTTTCAGTCCTCCTTTGCCCTTGGCTTCACAGCTTCACTAAAACCAAGTTCACTCATCAGGTTTTCAGAGGACTGAAAAGCTACTTATGTTGGAACAACAGAGAGGCCATTGTCAAAATATGTTTAAAAAATGAGGAAAAAAATGTATTTTTCTAGCTGAACATGGGCTGTAACTGCAGTATTGTTCATTTATGAAGAACACACCCTGTAAAGCAAATTTACGTCTTCCTTGTCACACATTTGCATTTCACTGATGGAGCCCCTTCTCCAGGCAGAATTCCTCTCTGAGCAGTCTGGCCACAGACTGGGCAGAAGGCAGTCACTTGTACTGTGCTCACACACACACCGGTGCAGAAAAACTGGGGCCTGCAGTGCACACATTTTGCACAAGTGATCTCCTTACAGTGGATGCAACAGGCCTGGCCCACCCTGACCCGTCTTCAGCACATACAGCACACACCAGCTCCAAAAACATGATTGCAGTAGGCCTCTGAATCCTTCCCAGCCTCCAAACCTCTGCTCAGCCCTCCCGTCTGCAGCTGGAGCCTCTCGTCCTGCTACAGCGGCTGGGAGGGAGCATCCTGGGCCCCTGCCATACCAGTTGGCTTACCACTGTGAAGCTTGCCAATTTCCAGGCTCTCTTCTATGCCACGGCCACTGGCCACTGGAGGATGGAAGGTGAGATACAGGCTCTGACTCTTGAGCTGTTGTCAAAGGTAATTGAGTGAAGCTGTGAACCTCTTACCTCCCCTGGCAGCAAACATACTGGTTTGTTCTACTGGCAGCCACAGAAACAAATCAGAGCTCAGATAGCCACAACTTTTCCTTTGTTTCAGAAGGTGCTGTTGGGACCTTATGATGGGATGCCAGAGGTCACTATGTCTGTTGTATTGACACACCAAGAGCTGGGCAGCTTGCAAGCTCAGGAAGAGTGAAGTCCAGCTGTTGCAGACAAACATTTGCCTCAAGAAGATGAGAGCTTGGGAAACCTAACCCTCACATTCACATCAGGGATTGTGCAGTCCTTGTGTAAAAGAGTGTAAACTAGATTCTCTTGCACCACAACCCCCTTCTGGACTATTGTGCAATGCAGACATTGCTCCATGTGAAGACAGTGCAATCCCATATCTTTAAAACTGAACATACAGCTCTTTCTCTTGCTCCCACTGCCTGTGCAGCAGCTGTTACTACTCTGGAGCTCAGAGTCCTGTAGTTCCTGCACCAGGGTCTAACATCTCAACAAAGGTTAACTCTATCCTGTGTGCTGCAAACACCATGGCAAACACACTTCAAGTGTTTCCAGTCCTTGAAGACCACCTCCTGTTTTGAATCCCAAGAACGGAACATCCTGCCAGGATGCTGTGGGGCTGGGTGAGGGCAGAGTGGGCAGACTGGTGAAAGGCTGCCGAGCAAAGATACTCGGCTCTCACAACCCTTTGGCACCACTCAAGAACCCCTCTCTGCTTTGCACTCAGGTCAAAATGCATGCTTCCCAGCTACAGGGCACCAAAATTCTCTCATGCACCAGACCTGCACAGAGAATAGCAGCCACCACTGGACCCTTGGAAACTTGGTCAGCACAGGGAACTGAGTCCTGGTGTGGGTCTGTTAGAGCCTCTGGCATGGGTGCCACCACTACCAGCAGGCAGGCTGCAGCGGGCACATGCTGAAACAGAACATGGATGGTGAGAGGCAAGAAACCTCCATGGAAACAAAGCACTTTCCCTGGTGTGGATCTAGGCATGTCAAATTCAGCAGCAACCCACTCTACTGTCTGGGCAAGTGAAAAAAAAAATAAAAAATCAGACAGCTGTGTTTCAAACAAATGCACAGGCTTCAGTGCTACACCAGCCTTGAAGGTATTTTGTTTGCACTGTCAAAGTATCTGACACATCTCAAGGACCTGGATTGTACGAAACAGATGTCACAGACAAATCTATGCAATCTGTCATTGTCCAATATTATGCTCTGGAGAAATACAAAAATAACATGGACAGTGAAGCCTTGTAAGAGTATATAGTGGTTAAAAAACATCCAAATTCAGTGACCGAAAAGATCAACCAATTTACTTTTACTGGCTCAGTAACTGCTTAGCTCATATATTTAGGTACTTTTTAAGTTTCTCCTAGACTGAATTGACTTTTCAACTTCTATGTATCACAACAATTAATTTCAAATGTAAGAAAAATTTTATTGGTCCATTAATCTATAACAATAAATTCACTCAGTATACAAAAGGAAGTGTCCATAAAAACCATTAACATGCTTTATGAAGGCAAAGTTGTTAACTATTTTACAATGAAGATATTACAATTCTGAAATCTTTACCAATCCTTAAAAGTCAAACTGTTACAGTTGCTACAGATCACAACACTAGCAAAAAATAATTAAACTAGCAAACCTCCACTTCACTGAGCTACAGCTTAATAAAATAAAACCACACATACATGCCAAAAGGTTCCCTTAAGATACTAAGAATCTTTAAAAAGGCTAATTAAAATCCCCTCACTATTAAGAAAATGTGTTCATATTCATATTTTGCATCCAGTTTTTGAACATGGCATATATGAGACTGAACACCATGCACTAGTGGTGAACAAAAAGCAAGACAGTGAACCCATAAATTCCTACTTAATCTTTTCTCAGCTTGTATGTTACAAGTGGAATGATTTTCTCTGGAAGTTAATTCTTCTAGCTTTCAGTGTGCATGGATGTCAAATGACACCTAAGCACCCAGACTTGAATCAGTAGAGGAAAACCAAAGCTACAGTATGATCAACAATTCAGTATTTCCCCATAGCTTTCCAAAATTCTTGGCTTTGCACTTTCTTCTTGGCTTTGCACTGAGGCTTCTTTGGCAAAAGCACGGCTGCAGTGCTGCACCTTGCAGCTCTGGTGAGCAAAAGCCCTGGAAGCTTTAAGCTGCTGGAGTGGTTTCAGGGCTGATGACTATGGCTCCAAACAAGTCTCTGCAAACAGCTGCACGCTATGCACTGACAATTACTGGAGACTGGCAAACAGGGAGGGAAGTCAATGTGGCTTCTATCAGAAATAAATTCCAACTTTTTAAAAACAACATTAACGAACAGGTGTGAAATTAATCAAATCCAGGTTTGATAAAAAACCCAATCAAAACAGGATTTAAGATTTAAACCTACAGAATTTCTTTGGGCACTAGGAAGCAGTCATCATGCCAGTCTCTCAAAGTTTCTACTTCAAACCCTGCACAGTGTGTCTGCATCCCCATTGTGGAGCACTTGGGCATTCTGCCATCAGGATGTTGAAAATGCAGAGACATACCAGTTCCCAAACTACATATCTTGTTATGAGTACAAAAAGCCAAAGCTTTCGAAGCACTTGACCCCCGTACATTCCCTTGTACAGTCACATGAAACACTGAATTCTAACTACTGTTTATGAAACTGAAGACACAAGTAAAATGTCCTGGTGCCGATTATGTATTTCCCTCTGACAAGAACTTGTAGGCCACTTCAGAAAACAAAGAAGTAGTTTTCACAGGGGAAAACTGATCCATAAACTACGATCATTGACTTTCCTTCAATGCTGCAGGCTGTCCTGCTATGAAAAGGAAAGGATTGGTAAGACCTGGCAAAGAGGTCTTTGCTAGTTCCTAACACCAAAGACATCCCGTTGGACAGGCAGCAGATTGTCTGGAAGTGAAACAGGTTAGCAATACCTTTAAAAAACAAATCCAAGGAGAAAAGGCAAATAAAATAAGATACAGCCTGCAAGCAAAAGACATTGCTTCTAAAGCCCAGAAGGAAAAATGAGAGCAAATTTTTAGCTGCAGATAATCTCAATTTGTCTAGCCACATAGGTACAGTCTTATGGTATTTTGCTTCATCAACTTACTAAGGAGAAAAGCCTAACACTTTATAGTTTATAAAATATTTATAGCATGTTTTAAAAGCAGTTAATTATTTTGTTGCTGATCTGTTCAGCTGATCTGTGGGCTGCTACCCAAAGTACAAGCAGCACTATCTTGAGTATCCAAATTTTCCTGATGCATCAGTAAAAAACAGAGAAGCAGCTGTTTTGTAAGTGCAATGGTTACTTCTTTAATAGCATAGTTCTAGCCCAGAAATGGCTGCAGCAGTGGCTGACAAAGCAGTTACACATGCACAGCTTATAATATACCAAAGCGCTTATAGATTTGTAAAAAGGTGCTAAACCACAAAATAAATAAATAAATAAATAGACATGCAGTGTTCATAATTCTGCAAGGGGGTAAACCCTCTCTCTGGACTATGCATACTGCAACACTGCATTACACATTTCATAGGAAAGTGGCCCAACCCTGACAGGATCTATCACATTAGCTGGGCATGTACAAGCTGTTTGAACCTCATGGAAGTGCCTGAAGCAGAAAGCTAAGATTATCACAAACATATAATACCTTCAATGTGTAATTGCAGTGGAGTTCCTTACTCGGCATCCAGCTGCAAGGGCTGCCTGCACACTTTGAGGAACTAGGTGGCAAACAGCAAGCAAGCATAACCATCTGCTTTCTGTACTTCCCTGATGTGGTTTTATTGTCTTGTTTTGTTAGACCTGCTACTTGGACTTAGAGACTTGCTCTCTGAGTCTGCCCCACTGATTTTACACCAAAAATGAACCAATCATGGTTGTGGCTCTTCATTGCCTTCATGAGAAAAACTAAAATTGTTCCAGTCTCAGATGATAGTGCAGCAGTCAGGTCCCAAAAATCTTTATCATGGTAAATTTGAAACAGTAGAAGAATGCCAGTGAAACCATTTCACCTTCCTAGCAGAACAACTGCCAACACAGTCTGTTTCTCTGAGAGTCTATTAAACGATAGCATTAGTTCAAATTTAACTAGAGGAAATGTAGCACAGGACATGTTCTCTAGTCTTCCTGTCTTTGCAAGCTTCCTCTCTTCACAGAGTCCAAAACCACTAGGAGCCAGAAATGCTGCACCAATTACGTCTGGACACAAATTCACCCAATAATTGTGGCACAAGGCAGGATAGACATGGTGCAGCTAACCGCCTCAAGAAGAGCAGTCACCTGCACTTTCAGGTATGGGGAGAGAAAGTTAACTGTTTACAGTTTAAATATAAATGTAAGCGAAACCTACTTGTTTATTTACAAAAGCATCAGGCTACTTGTGAGTTCTCCCAGTTACTTTTCCACTGCACAGTAATACCCGAAGCAGTCTTATCCCCAAAGGTTTGTCAAGCACAGATTATTTGGTCTTCCACATGCACCATGGGTCTGACTGTGCCTTGTACACACTGGTGTAATGTATGAGGCAGCATCACCCAGTCACAGGCTCAGTCCAGTTTCAGTGCCACGTGAATTACTAGCTACATACAGCAGTAGGTATGAAGGCACTTCTTGAAAAGGTTTTTTTAAAAATTTCATTTGCATGAACTGTTTGGAATATAGGGACTGGGCATTTGAATCCTTGACCCGAGCTGAGGATTTTATTAAGTAGTTGCACATGGAAGTTCACAGTACAGATTTTACAGCAACCGCTAAGGCTGCAACATTTGCCTGGCCAGCAGGAAGTCTTGCCTTGATGAGGAAGTAGAGGCTTTGCACACCCAGGTCCACTAGTTACCAATTACTTAGAAAGGCCTGGAACTCCATCGTTGGATCTGGGGCAACAACCTGGACACACAGGCTCTCAAAATTATTTTTGGGGTTTTTTTCTCTCAACATTTGCTCAGTAGCAGACAAAACTGTGTAATCAGACACTGCCCCATTCTCACCCTACGTATACCTGCAGATCTAGATGCTTAAGATCAATAGCTGGTAGACGGTAAGGAGGAAGGAGAAGCTCGGTGAGGTGAGTGCTGGGTAAGAATCGACTCATGCCTCACTGCGGACTTTCTGTTTACAGTCTTGTTTCCTCTGTGCAAAACCTATTTCCTTAAAGACAAACTATAGAAAAAAAGAGCACAAGGAGGAGCAGAAAGTCCTTATGTAGGTACTACATAAAATAAGAATTTTCATAAATAATTAAGAACATCCATTGGTCAAGATATGTATTAAGATCATCTATATTTGTGACTGGGATGCCTGCTATCAGAACCAGAGAACACTTACCATTCTGTGCCTTATAACTTGACATAGTGCATGCCTTCTTCTCTAAAACTCCTTGCCCTGATTGTTCTATTACAAAAAACATGGCTAATTTAAAAAAAAAAAAGGTCAGTTTCTCATAGTACAACAGATATTGCACTAGAAGGCAAATCCTGCAAGCCTCTAGGGACCAGCCAAGGCAGGAGGAAGAGGAGCCTGGACTATCTCAGTTGCAGCACACAACTCTAGCACTGGATCAAGATTGTTTATCAGAATAGCTGCTATGAGGTAGGTGGGACAACTGTTAGTTGTCATTACACAGCCCATAAGCTCTTATCTTAGAGATGGGACAGATAAATGCTTCTAGATTGAAAATGCATTAACAAAGGCCTTTTTCTGCTGCAGAAGGATCTCCATAGCAAGACTCCAAATGCAGACAGAGATATACTGACAGGTCTCCATGCTAGCAGAGCTCTTGGCAGGATCAGAATCTCCCAGCAGAAGCAAAGGGAAAGGGAAAAACCTGCCTCCCTCTCCAGAGCTATTTGTTGCTTTTCTGACTAATGTCAGAGCCAAGATTTAACTGCCTTTTTTTAACTATTGGTGCAAACAAGGAGAAGAGCACCGAGACAGTCACTGCTGGACAAACTCCTTCCCTTAGATCTCATGATAGATGTATTTTGAGACTCTAATCACAGGGCTAGGTGGTATAAGTATACAGGACTGCAGATCTGTAGATTTTGTTTCAGGCAACAGTGCACAGGGTGGGGAAGATCGCACCCCTAGAATGCTCCAAGCAGGACAGAAGATCTGGTACACCATAGCAACAAGGTAGCTAAAAATGGTAATGAAAACAAGGGCAGAACTGAGATGCACTATATTAAGATTACTCACCAGGTGTACATTAGCCATCAGTTATTGCAACAGAAGAACTAAGGCATGCAAATCTTTTTGCCACCTCATAGGCCCCTATGCTGTGCTTTTCTTTGTTTTGCAGAAAGCATTGGGTGAAGATTTAAGGCTCAATCATATTAAAAAACAAAAAAGAGAAACTGCTAAATTGGTTAATTTTGTTTTTATCCTGCATACTTCACACTATATGGGGGTGTATGTATATATATATATATATGTAGAGGGAGAGAAGACAAAATCTCTGGGACTAGCATAAGTCATAAATTCATCCAACCGGAATGTAGATAACTATGTGAGTTCAACCTTATTCAGCATTTAGGGCATTTGAGCTGTTGTTCTACCACCAAATCATCTGCTTAGAGCAAAAAAAGGGTGACAAGGTAGTGTTTAATATTGTCATTTGTACTAAGGCAGTTCCTCGTTATATTTATGTTTTAATGACTGCTTACTCTGATTCCACTGCTTGGAATAGGAGTTCTCCAAAGGAAGTTTTGTCTCTGTTAAAACATGGGTTGGCTAACTCCCATCCCAACAGCAAAATTAATATCAACAGAGGAGTATAAAAATATAGCAGTTAGAAAAAATACTTTCCAACCAACACACAGGGAGAAAAGGAAGATGACACACTATAGTCCTTTTCCAACCAATATTATAAAATTAGTCATGGAAACAGAACTGAAGATCCTGGGAGATCTTTAGACACAAGCTGAAACAGCAGGGTAGAAACGTAAGCAAGCACCCTACTTTTAAATTTAACAGCAACTGACAGTGCTCCTGTAATTAGCATTTTCTCAACAGCAAACATTGTGAATAAAGAATGTACCGTATCTTAAATCCCCATGCAGTACACTCAACTTTTAAATGATCTGGCAAAGCAAATTTGGGCAAAATGAGAATTTGTGTGTATGACTCCCCTCCAGTTAATAACTGGACTAGATATAAATTGCATATAATACCCAGGTGCCTTTTAAAATTATAATAGAATAAATACTATCATTGGTAGATTCCTTTATCAATCTAGGTGTACAATAACTTAATATATTTAATATGTTGATAAACAATTTTTAGTAGATGCTTTGGCAGTCAAATTCTTATATATTCTCTTACTTCTGCTGAAGTATTTAGATATGTTTTTGGAAAAAAAAATCTGCATACTACTTACAAGAATTATATGCTGTACAAAACAGCATTCCAAATCATCACTGCAAACTGTAAAAGATGTAGTTAATGAAAAAGTATAAAAAGGAATGCATATTTGCTAGAAGATACCCAACATTTACAGGAAGAAAGAAGATACATCTGCACCACGATTTTCGCTTTTCTTGTCAATGAAGCCAGAGAAAGATTGTCAGTTATTTGAAAAGCACTTCACTTATTCCAGTTCATGCAAGAATTGTGTTTCCTACATACCACACGAGCATTATAAAGTTCTGGAACAGATTTGTTCCCTTGGGCAATGCTTGTTCATGATAATAAAAAAGGTAAAAAACGTCTTCAATCATTCATTTAGTCTGACTGAAAAGATACTAGCTGGTATGTTATGATAAATGGGATATGTGTTTCCTCATTCCAAAAAAAACCAAAACAACAAAATAAAAACAAACCCACCAAAAAACCCAAACAAACACGAAAAAAAACCCCAAACCCCAAACCAGAGGAAAACTTAGAATGACCTTTTGACTGCTCACACTGAGAACTCTCTGGTTGGGCAACAGAGTGGAGCAATAAGAGTCCATAAGTACAGACAGACACAAACCCAACAGGAGACCATCTTAATCCAGAAGATGGACCAGGTTCCACTGAAGAATTTTTCAATCTGAGCACTTTCATAACTGTTAAAGAGAAATAAAAAAGCAGTAAACACACTATTCATATATCAGACTGCAGAATCCACTACTTTTTGAAGTGGGTCAGAGACGTTAACTAGGTTAACTCATACAGGAAGCAAGGGAGAGCGCCCTTTATAGAACAAGATCTGGCTCAAGAATGCCCGGGAAAGACTTGTGATGTCTCTTCAAGCTTCTAACATAAACAGAGAAGACACCCTAATAGCAGAACCTCCTGTTCACATATCTTCTCTCAACGCAGAGACATTAATTACTCAACTTTAAAGAAATACACTTACTGGAACCAATGAGTTACTGTCATCATCACGTAGAGCGAAGCCAGGAAGAAAACAAAGTGAAAGTAGGCATAACTGTACACTGTGCCTTTCTTCTCATCATAAACCACAGTCTGGCCTCCTCTTTTTTCAATGTGATCTTCAGCATCAGCTGTAAGAGACAGGAAACAAGAAAGTTTTTGCAAATGTAATGAGTACTGAAAACAGCAGCTGTTCACAAAGAACACCACAAATCATCTACAGTGTGATTTAGGAAAGTGTAACTGATACAGAGCCTACACTTGAACATTTCCTTGCCCTCAAGTTATGGGCCTAAACCCTCAGTGAAAAACCAGACCAACACTGAAATCCTGCCTTGTAGCAGCTTCCTGGCCTACTGAGTACTTTTTGAGCATTGGGAGCATTTAAATTGCTCTACCTGTATGATATTTTTCTGGCAAGTCCATGCTGATAACCTTGATTGTACCAGGTCTGCAAAAAGGACACTCCCTTCTTATCTCACTACCAAACTGCAGTCCCCCCAGAGCTGCTGAGCCAAAAATCTAGCAAGCAGTCACACCCACAGGCATGCAAAGAACAGAGATTACTCTTTGTATGTTGCAGTTTAAAGAATTAATAACTAGCCTAGTGTTTTTAAAATGGTGTTGTGACATCTCTAGCTTCCCTCTGTAGCCTAACTTTGAGCAATTCATCTGCTTCTGTTTGATATGCTACAGAATATGAGCAGCTCTCCATCCACAGCTGCGTCCTTACTTTCTTAGCTTTGGCCTAAAAGCCACAAATAAGGTACATTTTGCAGTGAAAACATAATTACCATCTCCATCAGGTACACAGCAAAAGCAGCATCGAGCTACCTGTGGAACAGACAACAGGAAGAAGGTAAGAATCTGTGCTACAGCAAAGCAGAACAGTTGGGGAAGGAAGGTCTGTTGTGTCTACGCTGCAGACATTAATTTAGAGAAGTCTGGTTTGTATTTCCAACCAGCAAAAAACTCAAATTAGGATTTGCCCAGTAGTTCACAACAACAGTTTCTAAGCTTCAGAAAAACCTACTCAGTAAATTTAAAGAAATGAGACATTCTTTAAGAATTACTCTATCTTTTCTACATAACTTTGGGTCCAATAAAGGAGCAAATAATTACGACAAAATGGTAGAAAAGCTATGGTAAAGTACATTCGTATTTAGGGGCTTACCTCTTCAGATCTGCATACAAGTTCCTTTTAGGAAATTTCTTTACTAAGATGAAAGTATAAGGAACTTTTAAAACTCTGATGCTGTCAGAGACTGAAACGATTAACGATTTATGCATTCTAGGGTCACCAGGGGACTTCTGCAGGCTGGGAAGAGGTGGTTGTTGGCCCATCAAAGCCCATCCCTCCGCCAATCCTGAAAGGCGGGAAAAACCCTTTTATGTGCCCCTCACAGGAACTCTGCGCAGGCCCAGGAGACGTTGGAGGCTTGTGGCATGGCCCGTGACACTGTCCATGAATATAATAACTCATAACTTCTTGGAGAGTGTGGGCTTCCCTCCCCCACCCCCAGCGGATCAAGGCCACCACTTCAACTGACAGACATGGAAGCTGCAACTACCAAGTTTCATTGCTGGACCTCGTGGGCAGTGACTATACACATTTTTGCACTCTCATATTTTCTTTCCCTGACTCTCCCTTACCCTTATCCTGTCTTTCCCTTTTTCTCCCTTATGCATTTCCCCTAAAGGCTATCTTTATACCATATTACTATAGATGATATAGATAATAACACCCAAAATAGCAACATACCTGTTTACCTTTGAAACAAAATTGTTCTAAAATAAACCCTACATATATATGTTTTCAAACACCGATTATTCAGTGCCATTTCATTCTAATCCACCCCGAGGGACTTATTAATATAAGAACCTAGGTTACTCCACTCCCCCCCTTTCTGAGGCGGGTCACAACAGATGCATGGGTTAGAAATCACAACTGCAGAAATACTTATAAATATATAAGTATTTTCTGCACCAGGCCACAGTACAAGCCAGCATTATCTGTAGTGCATCACCAGTGTTATTTATTCTGATAAAATCCTTCTCCGGGATTTATTTTGCTTGTGGTCTGATTAAGACAATGAACTCTATTAGGAAAATTCAATTCCCTAACTATTATACCAGTCAGTCTTTATAGTAAGGAAGTCTATTAACTTTGTTTACTTACATTAGTTCACATTATACAGTGCAATGTAGTGAGGTACTGGAATTTTACTGGACACTTTGGTATTGTTCATGCTTAAGTAAAACAAACCAAAGAACAGTCCAGCCTCAGAAATAAGGACTTTGCTTCTTGGAAGCTCACAGCTGTCTCTGAAGGATAAAAGATACCCCTGAACAGCAAAGATAAGGCCACAATTCTAGTCTCCCTAAAACATCTTTGAAACCATACCAGTATCATAGATAAGTAACTATCTCAAGACTGACTTCAAGGATGTCTGGATCAACAGATAAGAGGCAAGAATGCTGCAGAAATACAGTTGCTTTGCAGAGTTTTACTATAATTAGATAATTATATTAGATGGTGTGTGTGCTAGTGATTAGTCAAATCACGCTGTACCTGAATGCTTGAAGGGTATAAGAACCCTGTGTAAAACCACATTTGGGGTGCTCCAAGTTGGCTGGGACACCTCACGTGCATGAATGAATATTTACCCTTGCTATTCTAAAGTTTGTGTTCTAATTTCTCTCATTTGTCAAATGGCCAGTTGCATGCTTTCCCAGAGAACAGATGGCAGGTCTTTAAGGTAAATTGTCCAGCAGAAACATCAAGTGGCAGTTTTACCTTGCATATTCCTATTACCTGCACTCATTGGGTTCATAACTCACGAGAAGCCAAAAAGCTCATTCTTTTTCAAGAGACTGTCTGAGAGTTTAAGCAAACCCCTCATTCTGTATCTTTTTCTACTCTGTGCCAAGCCTCACCTACACTGCCAGCCTGAGCTACCCTGGGATTGCACTCACATTCTGCAGCAAGGGTTGGGTTCCCTCAAACATTTTAATCAATTGTAATTAAGTCCTGGCACAGAGTGATGAAATTAGCAACACTGGCACACACCCCCCAGCCCCTTGTACACGCTCAGCTGCCTCCAGCACAGACACTGACAGACTCTCTGTACAGCAGCAACAATTGTAGAGCTGCGTGTTCACTCTGGGCTGAGAGACAAAGGCCTTTTGCCACAGGGAAGGCAATCAGAGTGCAATTAATTACTCTTCATCCGTCATTTCTTTATATTTACATTCAGTGGCTCTTGTCCGGCTCTTTAATATGCAACAGTCTGGAACTAATCCTGTGGGCAAGTACTATGGCAGACAGATGGACCTTCCCAATGAGGGGCCACATCCCACAATGAGGCCCCCAGCCTTCCCACTGCTCCTTCCACAGGGCACAGACGCACACCCTCTGGACAAGACCTCTTACGGTGTAAGGTGGGCAAAGAAGGTGCATGGGTGTGAAGGGCATCTGTTTTCTCTCCGGTGCTCCCTGTCCCATCCCTCAGCACAGGGCAGCATGGCACAAGTCCTGTCTGGACTTGTTTGAGACAGACTGAGCCAGGTCTCGGTGGTCAGTGCCCAGCCAGTTGGTAGGCTGCCCTCCTGCAAGGGCTGGGTCTTGTACCAGCACCCTGTCCAGCTGCAGCATCCTGCCAAAGTAAGCTCCCCTGGCACTGTGTGACACCCCCACAGTGAAATGTATTTTGCTTCCCTATGCCCAGCTACTGCAAACACCAGGTGCCTCAGCAGATACTTCTGCATTTTTGAATTCTCACAAACACTTTCATTAAAGATTTGAAAAAGAGAAGTTAAAACTGCAGAATGCAGAGAGAGCTAGGGGGAGAGATTCATCTTCCAAACACACACATACATTTGAAGAGCGACACTTCCAAGCCTAAGTAAGGGGTGACTGTTACTCAGCAAAACCCCACTCATTTTCTAGTGTTTTCTGGGTGTTCTCAGGATAAGGAGGCCAAACAAACAGGCAGGTGGAATGAAAAGACCTGTACAGCTGAAACAGGAATGGGAAATGTCACCAGAGATGAAGTTATAGGCAAAAAGAAAGGAAGTACTTATGTGTGGAAATAAAAATGAGGTAAGTAGTTGGGATCATAATCAGTTGGTATGAGAACAAAGGCAATCAGGACTGAAAACGCTCAAGAATGCCTCCACTTCTTTTACTGATAGCTTTCCAGCACACTTGTCCTTTAAATGAGAGGGCATGAGCTCATGGGAAGCACAAGATTCACAGGAAGTCTGCAGGATGTTGAATAAACTTCAAGAGCAGCAAATTATTTCATTACATAAAGGCAACTCTACCAAACCAGCAAGAGCTACAGAAGGGCCAATGTGCAGAGGCATATAGCACAAACAAGCTTCTGTTTACACCTAATTACAGATTACTGGCCATAAAAACAACAAGAAAAGCAGAGGAGAAAGTCTGCACAGAAATCCTGTGGGAAGTAGTAAGAACTCACTTCAGTTTCAGCTGTTGCATATATTCCTCTCAGTGCCTCTGAACTTGATCGTGTTGTTGAGGTCAAACTAGGAGGAAAAGAAGTTAGTGTCAATCTCCTGGGCATAACTCTAACCCCAACAGGGTTACTTTTCAACATCACAGCAAACATAAATAGCCTATTCCAATGTCTAAGCTAAGCATTTGCCTGGATGCTATCACAAAGCACTAAGTACATAACAAGTTTGTTCTGCACTAGTACAAACCAGCCTGGCAGATGGCCACTGGCCAATTTATTCTGTATCATGAGTTTAAAATTAGATCACTCCTGAAAGGTGGTGAATTCACCACCAGACAGCACCAAACATCTTAGCACTCCAATTTGTAAGTCAGAAGAGATCTCCTCTGCTGTGCACAACCAATGCTTTTATACTCAGTTCACAGCCATCACTTTGGCTCAGCATTTCTGTAGAGGCTTTGCCAGCGAACTCGCAGGTCTCTGGCAGCAGTCAGTTTTCAAAAGTAAATTATAGTAACTGTTGTCAGTGTACCAGTTCCTAGAAATCACTTTCTTGCATGGCTGTAGTTGTCAAACCATGACACTGGGGGGAATCCTTTCTAGTTTCTTTTGATAGGAAACATTTCTTGCAGTCTTACCCTTTTAGGGTGTGTAATGCTTTACTGTACACGCTGAGCCTTGGTAAGCAATGCTTCAAAAACACTCCCCTTGAAGGCCTTCTTATTTCCCCAGCTGCATGGTACACTTCAGAGGCAGGCTACATGAATATTGTCTGCATTCTTGAAACACCTCCCTGAGGCACTGGAAATGCTCTTCTACCATGAACTAGATCCATGGTACATGATATCCATTTATTTTATATCAGAGTTAAACAGAAGACATATGCACATTTGATAACAGAAGAGTAAGTCTCTTGTTTTCACTTCAAAATTATGAAGGAGTTTCAGTATGTGAACTCTGAAGTGGACTGATTCAGAAGCAGAATTTGCTCAAAAACCTGCAGCAGACAGCCCCTGTCTCCAGGCAAGTTAAACAGCCAAAACACAAGATATATCACCTTTCAGTCATCAGCAACTTCCCGTCCCAGAGCATGACTTAATTTACTGATGTGAGCTGCAGTAATACAAGGTTAGCATCAAAGATACATTGGCACAAAGAGGGGTTTTTTTTAGAGCAGATCTCTGGCAAATCTTGATGGCAATACTGTGCTCATCACTTATCCAAGGAAGCCCTAAACCCTCCCAAACAGTTTGTTTGTTTTAAAAACCCCCAAGAACTGTCATAGCCTCTGCAAGGAGGCTACAAAAATTTCAGGTAGATTTTTTAGGTGGATATAACTGCATAGAGCTTTTCTTACGGAAGCGTAAAGAGAGGATCAAAGAACCCTGGGATGAAGGACAGGTGAAAATTTTTTCCCTCCATTTCTAGATGTAAATTGCTCTATTTGATTTTTAATGAGATATATTTGTTTCAAAAGTTGTATTATCTTGTAGAACGCTTTTGGCTAAAACATCTGCAATTCTGAAACTGAAGAGAATACTAACTTTCCAGTTCAGCTCTATGCTATATCTCTCTGCGATTTTGCATGAGCTCTGCTACAAGCCTTCGCTGTTTGGACCACAACATTGTATTTACAGTGAGGCAGCCGCAAACCCTCAGACTTACCAAGAATATAAAATGCAGCCAAACAAAATCGTAGTACCCAAGCCAGTAACCAGGTTTTCATCTCTATGCAGGCCTTGACTGAATTCAGGTACACAGATTGTGATATTCCGATGGTTTTCATCCAGGACTTCACAAAACAGATCAAACAGAAAGAATAGTTTGCAAAGATCATTTCACTGCATTTCAAAGTAATCTTCAGACTGGCAGTTTTTAATGAAATATTTTTATTATTTCAGATACAGGGTAGGTACATTTCAGTTGTTTCTATCTCTCTTTTAAAAAAGATCATACAGAAAAAAAATCTGTAAAGCTGATCTGGCAGACTCTGTGTTTCAGGCAAAACAAAAATGCAACTTACTAGGGTACTAAAATTTCCTATTTGACCATAGCAGACTAAAAAGGAGAAAACACATTTTATGAAGTAAGAAATTAGAAACTGGAGGTCTGCCAACACTCCACAGCCATATAAGACCAAGATAGTACAGACCTGAGACCAGAAGTTTTTTTGACAGAAAGGGTGCCTTGAGGACAACTATGAAATTCACACAGAGTGAAAAAAGGTGGTCAGTAGTAGCCCTGTTCTCAGAGGGATATACAGAAGACCAAGGGAAAAAAGGTGCACCAGTTTAGGCAATATCTTTTCTCGGCACCTAATCAAATCCTACTTCTAGATCCCTGACATGAAACCACTTCAGTCCTTGATGTTCCAAGTTGCATCTGGCATTTTGATATCTTCCTGGAATAAGGAAAGGCAGAGAGTAGCCTGCAGCATTATCCCAAAGAGATTACAGCTGCACCTTATCTCAAATCAAGAGGTTTTTGAGTCAATGCTGCTTATGGCATCTCCTTTTACTTTCCAGCAGCCACAATGCATTCCCATTGAGACAGCACAACTGTTGGTAGGGGCAGAGGGAAAAATGCAGTAAGGGCTACATCCAGGTTAAAAATAAACTCAGTCAGTTCCCTGACCCAGCGGGGGAGGATTTTGCATGGCCCTGCAGTGCTGGACAAACAGCTTTATCAGGACACAGAGAGGACAGTGTGGAGTTGAGAGCAAAAGAAGAGGATAACCAGTCTGTATGAAATACCTTGGCCAGAGATGTGCAGATTCCCCCACCTATATCCATCAGGGACACATCTGCAGCAAGGCAGGCCCACTGTTTAGCAGGCATTTTAGTGATGTCTGGCACTAAAAAGCTAAGGCACATTATAATAAGCACAGATTCAAGAGACATAACATTTTGTTTGCCCATTCTTTCTAAAGACATTTGCAACTCTTTTTGGGTGTTGCAAATACTTGCAAGCCTGTATTTTCTTCAGGCCTTGTATGCGAGGTGTCCAATTTGAAAGGTGGACAGTTTGGAAATTCCTTTCTTCACAAATGAGGGTAATGCTTTAACATTAGGTAAGTTCATGGTAAACCAGTGACAGGGCATGGGACACCACAGAAAGTGCCAGCATTCCCTACTTTCTCTAGCACATGCCACTGTAAAAGCTGACAGGCCAGTATGAGAGTCCTTATCACACAATCAAGGGAGGATGGAGCACCTCTGAGAGCAGATGACAACCATGAAAATTCTCAGTCATGGGAAGACAAGGAGGAGCATCTGATTCAAGGAGGTCTAAGAGAGTGTGCATGATGCATAGTCTTTGCATACAAATATTGCATACAAATGCAATAACCACACTTGCAATACATACAAGAAGAATCAGAGGATTCATTTAACCGCTTAAGTCTTTGTCAGAAGCATGAAACAACCCGAGGCCAATGATTTCTTTCCATACATACTTTCTTCCCCTTCTTTTTCTTTTTACACTGTGTCAAGACTTAGGAGTAATTCAAACACCTTCTAAATTCAACTTTATATTCATTCAAAGTACTGCTTTAGCTCTGTAAGTAAATCTTACACCTAAATATTGTCTGGTTTTCCTTTTTAACCCTAGAATACTTTTGTGTGTGTCTATACCTATACAAGTGTGACAGAGATATTTTTTCCCATCTCTCCCCTTTCTTCTTGGGAAGTGTCTGTGTAAACTTTTGCTTCCTGCCAGTTGACTTATTTTCCTCTAGTTATTGTTGTTTCAGCTATTCAACACTTACAGTTGAGCAATAATAAAGAAGGGTGTTTTAATACTAATTCAAGCCAGAAAAGCCTTCTTTAAGTGAAAAGAATGCTTCTAGTCCAAATATGTGAATCTGATAGTTATCTGGGTAAAGGAAAGTTTAAGTTGTGCTTGTGAAGTCTTGCTGTGGTTTCACAGTGTAAAGACCTTCAAACTCTAGGGAGTTCCATACTCCTGACTTGGAATGCCAAAAGCTAGAAGGCAAGTAGAGTTCAGGAAATCTGCTGAAGAACAGCGTCATCTCTACTGCAATGTAATTCCAAGTCCTTTATTTGAATGTTTCCTCTCAAAACAAAATACGAGTGGTACTCAAGTTTTTTCTCCATTAGGAATCCAGTGCTAAGGTAATCTAGCACACTTTAGCACAATTTTTCTAGAAGAAAAAAAGTCATTTTAGTATATCCACTCTGATGGCCTGCACCTACTAACTGGGCCTAGTAAACTTTTGGATGGAGCTGATCACCCAGCTTCTTCCAGAGGCATTCAAGAGCAATTTGTTCCAACTCTTTTCCCATCATGTGATCAAACACATTACATGTTGAGTCATATCCTATTGTATGAGAACATGCACTTGACATAGGAGGAATAGACTACATGACTTTGGGAAATTTTTTCATGGGAAACAGGTTGAAATTACTCTGATGCAACAGATGCAACTCATGCAAGGTAAGTTAAGCTCCCCTACACCAAACCATTTAAGGCACATGGAGAGTGCCAGTTGCACAGTATCTCTGCTGCACAGATATATTTGTAGTATTTGCAATTTCTTCTGTGAAGGCCAGAACAGACCAACACTTCTATATCCCAGCACTCCTATATCCCCAAATTTTTTATCTCAGGTTTGCTAAATTCTTGCTTTTAGTACATGGCATGTCTAAAAGAATTTACATAAAGTATCAGATAACTTACTAGTTTCTGGTGGCTTGCTGGATAGTGCTGAGAAAGTGAGGTACATGACGTAGCAGCTGATAACTCCTGACTGCAGCAAACCAGAGTGGGGTTGACCTTCACAAGAAAGATGAAAATAAGTTATTTTTGTAGACAGTTTAACAAAGTGAAAAAGAAATTAGTATCCTTCAAAGAACAGCATGCCAGTATCTTTTATTTTTACTTAGAGCAGAAAACAAGGGTTTGAAGCAGTTTGGACACAGTTCCACTGGCCTGCCAAGAGAAAAAAGCCAGCTCGGCTGGCTTTTTTAGAAAGGCATTAGAGATTCCCATGTAAGTAAAGAATCACCCTTCTGTTTTTGCCAAAAGCACCAGCTTTTCAAAAGCTGTTGACCAGCTGCCACAATAATTTTATTTGCCTGTAAAATCTGTGTTAGAGTCACTCTACCATTTTCAGGTCCAATGTATGCAAGATACTAACAGCACACATAAAATACACTAAAGTATGAAATATTGCTGTCAGTTCCTCCAGGCCCAAACTTTACAAACTACACAAGTAGTCAAAAGTAAACAGTAAAATAGTGCTGAAGGAGTTTGACAGCTTCAACTGCTAGCACTGCAAGACCAAGGTAAGTTTCACAACACAGTACCAGCCATCAGAGCATGAGCCTTCTTTACAGTATGACTACCTGATGGCATACCCAAAATGTCTCACATCTCTATAGTTTTAGCAGTACAGCTGATGACCAGCAACAGTATTTCATAATGTAGATAAAATGTCAAGAGCAGCACCAGTTCTGAACTATCATTAGACTTCCTCCCCAGACATGGCTCATGCCTCCAGGCACACAGCTGAAACAATACCAGACATCCAGGAGGAGAAGAGGTCAGTGGACTCACGATTCTGGACACAGGGCGATATGGCCACCAGTGACACAAAGAGGCACAGGCCCCCGTTAACTCCAATCAGGACCTTGTTGTACATGCAGCCCTCTGAGCGAGTGTAGAAGAGAGCCATGAGGACCAGGGCTGCCACAGCAATGGAGTACAAGATGAGAGTGACCAAGGCAAGCAAACCGCTCCACACTTGCTTGTGGTTTGCACCTGCAGTCCTGGGGAGAGAGAAACAAGCACCTTATCTTTGTCTTCCCTTCCCCCAAACATAAAATTCTAATAGCTGAATAGTTCATATCCTCAAACACGAAAGACAATGTTTATTTTCCTGAAGCATGTGTGCTCACTACACCAACACAGACCCTTGCCAGGTTCCTCCCATGAAACAAAGGGAAATGTTCCTTAGCATCAGTGTTTATAATCTGTAGAATCACGCTCAGCCCTTTCTGTAATTATAGCCCAGCACTGACACCTCTAACTCCTAGTCTCTGCGATCAGCCCATAAGCACATCTCAGCTCAGTACTTCAGGGACTTCCTCAGTGGCAACTTGGAATGTCCCAGGCTGAGCTAGCCAGTGGTGGTCTCCACACAAAGAAAGCAGAGCCATACTGCTTAGCATGGCCTCTCTTCTGCACTTGAGTTACCTTGGTAGTTTTAGCACCCTTTCACTCAAAACCCCTCATCTCCATTTGGGTTTATCTCAATAGTCTCCCTTAGCTAAAGCGTGGTCCATCTTGTTTTCCCCTCTTTACCTTCCAAACACTTCTTGCAAAGATCACCAGGGTTTAAGAGTGGCAACTAGAAGAGTTGTTTTGACACGATTTTTTGGTGTGTGGAAAATCTTTTTAGGTTTGTTGGTTTGTTGGTTTTTTTCCTGGTGTTTTTTTGAAACATGACTTATTTTAAAAGAATATCTAATGTAGGGAGAGCTAAAGTTAAATGCTGCTGCTGGAAATCTTTCATCCACAAAAAACCAGCTACAGTTATTAGCACTAAAAATATTTGTGGCATGAGGAGCTCTCACCTCTACCTCCCCAAAAACAAGAATCTAACAAAGCCTAAAGATTTGTTAAAACTCTTTCTTTGCAGTTGGTATCCTAACTAGGACAAGAAAGGACTGCAAAAGTTTGTAGAGGAAGAAATGCGAGACAGAAAGGCGGAGGCAGGAGTTCCTGCAGATATGTGGGAGGACAATTTAAATATATTAAATTGATGAGAGGCTAAGGGCTTGGAAGGTTATAGTAAATATACTTAAGTCAGTGCCCAAATGGGATATATGTGAGTTGGTAATGGAATTTTGTGTATTTAGATGATAGGAAAGAAGTTGAAGAGAAAATAGCAGTTCTCATGCTGAGAAAAAAAAATTGATGTGCATTAAGCTGACGCAAAAAAAGCAGGATTTATCAGCTTACATCATTGCACGCAGTTTCACTATTACATTTTGCAAATCCAGTTTTACTCTCTTGCACCACTCCACTTCTTAGCAGGTGTATTTTCATAGAAAATATAAACCAACTTTCTTTCTTCAACTGAGAAGTTTTGCATCCCAACACACTTAACTGGAAGCCAAGCAATTGAGGTAAAGAATAAATCAGCAGAGTAGAAGTGAACAACAAGGAACATTTCCACTGGGAGAGGAGAAAGTAGATGAATATTGACATGAAAGTGTCTTCCAAAAGTTACATCCATGATACTTTTATACTCTTTGTTATGAGAAAGGTATTGGTCAGGAGTGCACCAGAATTTTAAGCAAATAACTACTTGCCCAACACATACCAATTTTTATTCCATTTGTGTGCGAACTCAACCAGCAGGATGAGCTGAATGACAATGAAAAGGCACCCTCCTGTTGCTCCTACGTAGCGCCAGGCTGCAAGGCAGAGAGGCAGAAAATAGGTCAAACTGCAGCTGCCTTTCCCTTGAGATAAAATGGAATTATTTTCAATGTAGGGAAGCTGTTAATGCGGTTTGAATATCTGAAGCCCACAGACATAGGAAGAGATGAGAGATTTCAGATGAAAGGCCAGCTCAGTTGACTCAAGATAAGCTCCCTGATGAATTCAGCTTGCAACCTGCTACACTTTCAATGCAATCACATTAGGACATCTATTGAGTTTCTCTAACCTAGAGAATTTTTGTGGAGACTATGAGTTACTATATTCAGACAGAAAATACTGAAACCTTTATTTGTGACTGGCAGGAGGGAGGTGGTGTGAAGGCATTGCACAGGAATTTAAACCCCGAAATTGCAAGGTACTGAAACCCAGCAGTAAAAAGGGAAATTTCTGCCAATCCACATTACAGCACCACGGAAAAACAAAGGTGGGGTTTATGTATTTACAAATGCTTTTCCAAGCCACTCCCAAAGAACATTTTGTATTCACTGACTAATTTTAAGACAGGTTGTTTGACTGCTTAACTGTTGATCTGCATAGACTGTATTTGTGTAGCTGTTTGGGTACTTTGAACAACAGATCTCTTATGTGCAACATCAGAAGCCTCTGAGGAAATACAGATACCTATTTTAATGTTTAGCTGTATATAGAGCTTGTACTCTGTGCAGTGCATAGCCTATAAATTACTCCAGGTGTGCAGCTGATTTCAGTGAAGAAGGAAATGCATCAGCAAAATTCAGCCACATCCTTCTATTGTGTTTTCTTTTTGAAAAAAGCTTGTATCAGTGAAGTGAAGATGAGAACGGTCAGGGCATGTTTCCATTAGCAATTCACACAGAGATTATTTTTTCTTCCTGTACCATAAACTTATTATTTGAAAGCAAGCAAGCACACTATTCTTGGAACATACAATATAAAAAAATGGAAGAAGATAGCCTGTAAAAAAGTACATAAAAAATAGAGAACAAAGTGGCATGTGTGTTTGGAAGAAGTGGAGTAGGAAAAAGCAGACCACCAATAGAATAAATAATTAAGTAGCCAGACTCTCAGAATATCCCACTGCCACAGGATATTGCAGGATGTTTAATGGATCCATGACAGATAAGGTTAGCATGGCCATTGTGGAATTAACACTACAGCCCATACAAACCTAGTGCTTGCATGTTTTTTAAGAAAAAATAAGCAATAAGGAAGAATGCCCCCCAAACAAACAACACCAAACAAACAAAACCCCAAACCAAACCAAACAACAGTGAAAGTTTCTTGATAGGAGGGGAAAAAAAAAAAAGAGAAGACAATAACATACAATTCTCAACTCATCCGTAAATCTCAAATTCAGAGACTAACTAGAGAACAGTTTAGCAGGAAGCGCAGAATATGGCTTTAGAGTGAAATGTCAAGACATAGCACGGGGAATAAATCTTGTTATGCTGTATCTTCACACTAGGTTAGACTGCTGTTGAGAATCAGCACAAAAAGTTCTGTTTCTCCTTTTCTGTAAACACATCAGTTCTTGAAGACTTCTCACCATGAAATGGGTCACTTGTAAGGATGACAGGCAGCCTTGCTTGTTTATGAGTACAAAGCATTGTACTGCTACATCTTTCTAATCCAAACAGTGTCCTTAGGTACTAACAACAAGCACATATAGCCATCCCACAAATTCACAGAGGAGAGGAATAGGGACATCACTTCGGGGCATCAAACCGAGCCACGACCAAACAAATAGTAAGAGGAAGAAGCTGAATTATACCTGTCAGTGATTCACTTGCAGTGCTTTTTACCTTTAGTTTCCCAGAGTACTGTGCTCATA